TTTTTTGTTTTAGATCACCCGTTCTCAAATTTCGATGCCCGCCAACAGCATACCTTTTTTTGAAGGGTTCACGTTTGTCAGCCATTTTGGATGTCAAAAAATGTTCAAAACAATAAAAAAAAATTGTTTTCTTGTATTTCTAGAGTGTATTTATCATACCCAACAACTTTCACATGTATATGTATCCTACAAAGCCTAAAAAAAAATCGTGAAAATAGCCTTTTTTTTCGGCGTATAAACCAGAATGAACCCTTAAGTATGTATAATAACACTTGTCTCGGATAATTTACCTTTATGATCGAATTCATTGTATTATTATTAAATGTATGTATGTATCAATTGTACCAACGTTTGATTTAATTGATCCTATTAGAAGAGGATTAGATGGACTTCGATTTTCATCATAAACTATATCTATTGCCTTTAGTTCTTCGCGATCCATAAATTTGATCGCCGTACCATCGGCTTCGATGTAATTTACGTCACTTGGTTTTATGTCGCAATCTATTAAAGTTTTCTTCATAACTTCAGCCTGAAATTTTGCTGATGGATATAAATAATTTTTTTCTTGTATTGATTCGCCATGCAATGCAATAGAATTAACAATTTCGCCGTATATCCGTTTTGCATTTTCAGCTCTTTGCATGATAAATGCTCCCACCGACTCATTCCTTGTAAATCCACCAGCTTTTATGTTGAAAGAGCGGGTAAAACCGTCTTCAGACAATAACTCTACAAATTTTATTTCTTTTATTTCATCTATTCTTATTTTAAATAAAACATTAAGCTTGCTGTGTGTGTTTAGATTTTCAATAAAAACATTTAAAAGATCCTAATTTGTAAAGAATAATTGTCTATATGTAGGGAATTTTATTTAAGGTGAGAGGGGCACATCCACCCAGTTTAATCCTACTAATAAGATTTATTTAAAATAGGTATTAGAAAAAGTACAATAATAGTTTCACGATCTTACGATTAAAGCTTAGATGAGCGACTGTATTCTTACAACTGATAACGACTTATAATATAACTACGACTGTTACGATTGATGACTAACTATGGCTACTTTCCTATTTCTTTCCACATATTTTATATCAGAAATCACCTACACCCCTTTTGAGAGGGAAGAAGCTTACAAATCTTACTGACCAATAGCATAAGGATCCACCCCATAGTCCACCGACAGGTACAGCCTATGGTTT